TGTCTTAACTATAGAAAATAATAATTTTAATAAAATTTTTAATTAAAAATATACTTTTTTTTTATATATAATTAATAAATAGAATCTTTTAATATTATTAATAAAGTATTCTTATAATTAGTTAAAATAGTTAAATTAATACTAGATTAATTATAGTTAATTTAATTTACTGTCTACTCTACTAGATAAGAATTAATAGTCTTGATATTAAATATAGTTAATCTAAATTAACTGTCTAATTTTTGGCTTAACTGCGGTTAGATATAGAAATTCTATTAACCTAGCTATAACCTAGCAGTTAGGTATAACTGACCCTATTAACCTAACCTAACCTGGCCAAACACCAGTCTAATTAGTATAGAATACTATTTTATTAAAGAAAAATATTAAAAGTATATAGAATTCTATTGTGATTGTGGCTACGATGTACTGCTACGTAGGAGAGCTATCGGGTGTAGGAGAACCCTACAGATCCACTAATTAGGGTTGCCTGACCCAACGTGTATATAAGGACCGTAGCTACCCCCCAGACCTACAGAGGGTCGGCAACTCCCTACCTCTCATAGCATACCGCTACTTGCAATCTCACTATTAATTTATATTTTTAGAATTCTAAAAGAATATTGATATACTTTACTAAAAAAAATAATACTAGACTATTATATAATAATTTATCTAATTCTATTCTAAATATAGAAGATTAAAGATATATTAAAAAACTTCTTTAGTAGACAGTTTCTAATATCTATAATAAAAAAACTTAAAAGCTTAGTTCTACTATATATTCTTTTTTTATTAAGAATATTCTGTTTCAGCTGTATTATTTAGATTTTAAAAAGATTTTAAAAAATAAGTAGAAGAAATATTAATATAGAAAATTATTTTTATTGAATTTATATATTTTAAAAAATAGTAATATAATTTTTTATTTATCTAATAAGATTTAAAAAGCTCAAGATTTTTAGACTTAGAAAGATAAAGTTATATAATTTAATAAAGTTATTAAGTAAGACAGAAAGCTTTATCAGAAATAGAAAAAGAAAGAAAAGTAGCTTTTAATAGAAAAATATAAGAGAATCCAAGTTTTAAATAAAAAGATATATAAGCAGATAAATATTTAAAAGTAGTGTTAAAAAAAAAGCTTATTAAAAAAGCTAATCTACAGCTTTAAAATAATATAAATTAGACTACTAAAGATAAGACTAAGATCTCTATACTGTTAACTCTAAAAATTAGAAAGGATATTAGTAATTAAAATAAGATTATTATTACAGAGACTTTATATAGTATAAATTGTTGGGATAGATAGATCTGTTTATCTATACACTTTCGGAATTATTAAAATAGTGATATATTTTCTATATAATTCAAATACTAAATTACTAAGAAATCATACAATAGTAAGTAATATATGTGATTGTAGAGCTTTATCTTTAACTCCGGTTTTTATAGGAAATCGGGCGTCAGGTGGAGGCGGGTGTCAGGTGATTAGGTACGGTAGGGTATAGGCCGTAGAATGGAAATATCCGGCAAACAATGGTCCTGGCGACTTCCACAAAGACAACCTCCAGGGGGACGGAATCACCATCAACACAAAATCTCACATGGTCTGCTTCAGTCCAGTTACTGTCCGGACAAATTCTGTTCTAATTCCATCCGCATTTTATCACGACTTGAGCCAATTTACCACTGCAGGCTCCAACCCTTGCCCTTCCAGGCCGTCGTAGCAAAGGCAGAGACCCGCAAGATTCTCTTCTCCTTATCAAATGTGACCTGCGTCGTATTGAGCTTCTGACCGTTGAATGCAACGCTACTTTCATTGACGTCGTTCACACCCAAGATGGTGATATTTCTCAGAGCGTTCTTATCCTTCCAACCACCTTGGTTAATGGAAACATTCAACTTGCGACCCTGGACAGTAAACGCTGCAGTAAGTGTGGCATTCGGCGTGGTGCTGACACCGTCATCGAGATACAGATCCCCTTTTGCGTGGCCCGTCTTGTCCAGCGCAACGACCACGTCCCAGGGACTTGTCCGCACCTCCCTGGTGGTGAGAGCGGGCTGTTGAAGTGGTAGAACAGATCCTCCGCGCACGTAAACCGGGATGTGACCGAGCGGAGCATCAATGGTGGTATTGGCCTGAGCCGGCACAGGCACGGCAGTGCCATTGTACCAATCATACCATGTCTCCTTGCCCTCAATCAGGCCTGGGAATACGCCGTTTACCGTTGAAACACCGGGCTCGAGTACAGGAATTACAAGGATAGCAGGACCCAGCAAGAACTGACGATCGGCACTGGCAAGAGATGGGTCGTTGGGGAATTCCCAGGCCAACGCCCTCATGACAGTCTGGCCATGGGTATGGGCATGATAGAAGAGGGTGTACAAGTATGGCAATAGCTGGTAGCGAATACTCATCGCAGACTTGCTTGCATCGATAACCGAAGCCCAGACGTAAGCTTCCTGGCTGTGTGCAGAGAGGATATTGTGGTTCCTGTAGAATGGAAAGAAGGCGCTAAGCTGCATCCAACGACTGCACAGCTCCATATCAGAGTTGCCTGCAAAACCACAAGTGTCGACACCAAACATGGGAATGCCAGCAAGAGACATGGAGAGAGCTTGTGGGATCGAATAGAACATATAAATCCACTTGGAATAATTATCACCACCCCAATGGCCCGCAACTGACCCAGCACCGGCGAAAGTCCCACGGCCAATGATGAAGGGACGGATGCCTGGAAAGACCGTAGATAGAGCATTGTAGGTTGCTTTCAGGATGCCAAAACCCCACAAGTTGTGAACATCATATTCCAACGTACCATCGGCATGGGTGGCATTAGGGGAAATGGCTGAAACACCCAGGGGACCTTTGACATTATTGATAGCATATGGGGGGTAGTTCACATCGCGAATACCAGGAGTCGGGGTGGTACGGTAGTATGGGGAGGTACTGGTGGATGTAGCTGGATAGGCGCTCATCGAGGAGGAGATAGATGCAGATGCAAATGCAGCTTCCGTGGTATTAGACACTTCAAAGCCCTCTGGGTATTCGAGGACCAGAGCCTGTGGCTCTCCTGGCAGTGCAAAAGGAGGATGAACGGGGTTCAAGGTGAGGTTGCCGCTTCCGCAGCTTCCAACACAGAAGGACGAGATCTCACTCATGTCGACCCACGCGCCGTCAAAGGCCCACTGCTTGTGAAATTCCACAAATTCGTTTGTCCACCATGGCCCAGCCCCCTCAGACAGCCAGTCGGGAAAAACTGTGTATCCGGGCCACACATCGCCTATATAGAGGCTGCCGTCAGGGTTGGTGATAAAGGCTCCCACCGAATTTCCCCTGTCGAATACAGGGTATCTGAGATGATGTGAGATCATGTACACAATTCAACACTCGGCCAACTTACGCATCTGTCTCATTCTCTGGGTTGGGTATGTAAATAGCTGAGTCAATGATGGGGACATAATATCGTCCGCTTTCGTGAAGACGACCTATGAATCCTGCCCATTGGGTATAGTTAAAGCGAACCGGATCAGCCTCAAAGTCCCGGTAGGATTTCATGTAGTCGATATCGGACCTGGGTTCCGGTTAGCCATTCTATGACGCTGATGGGAATGAATGATCTTCAACGTACCAAACAGACTCCAACGGAATCTTGAATTTACTATAGTTATCGACCACATCCTGAAGCTGACTGATGTTTTCATACCCCCATCGGGTTTGATGGAAGCCAAATGTCCAGAATTGCTGTAGAGCTGGTAGTCCTACCACATTCAAGTACGAAGCGGTGACCTCTGGCTGGTTGGGACCCGGGAAGAAGTAGAGATCGATGCTGCCACCAATAGTACGCCACGTAATATTGTCTGGTCGCAACAGGACATCCTGCCCATGGGCATTACGCAAATAAACACCGTGTGACAGGGAAGTATAATTCATGCCGGGAGTTCTCTCGTTGGATGTCACCAACGACAAGTTACCACTGGCATCCGTGGTGTAGTAACGGGTCTCAAGGTAGGAAGGATGAGTTCCGTAGAGGTTCCTGTACACTATTAGCCAGCCTTCTCTAGTACGATATGCGGCGGGTTGTAAAGGGGGCGACCTCATACGTATCAACAGTATCTGGAGAGTCTGCAGCATAGAAGGTTTTCGTGAAGTTGTTCCCCAATCTTAAGCCATGAATCGACTCGCCCAACCCGTAGAGATTGTAGTTTTCTGGGAGGGCGCTGATAAACTCTATGAACTGATTTTCATATACCAACTTCGTGCCTGCAGTCGAAAAGATCTTCTCGCCTGTTCCTTTACGGCTGACAGTAAATGCAAAGGTCGGGTCATTCGTCCAAGAAAACTCCAAATCCGACTTTACATTGGCTGCGACACTAGGCTTTGGAACAAGGCTCGTTGGTAAAATATAGAAGCTAGCATTGGATGGGTGGATAAAGGTTGGCAAGATTTCGACATGCAACCGGTCCGAAGCTTGGTACTCCACGGTAAGGTTCAGGGCCGTAATGTCAGTTCCATACACATTGCAAGGGGCACCAGCAAGGTGAAGAGCAGCTGTGAGCCCAGTAGCTGTCTTCTGGACGTCGGTCGCGACGTATCCGGGGCAGACTGTCTGCGCATCGACTGCCATTGGGTCTCTGATGTTGGGCAGCACCGGGGGAGCGTCATTTGCTGATGCAGGAATGGTAAATTGAGGGGCAAAGAACGTTGTTGGCGTAGACGCATTCTGCGCCCCAGCAACTGAACATGTTGAAAGGACGACGCATCCTGCTAACAGGTGCTTTGCCGTTGGCGTACACATTCTTGAGTTTGAATGTAAGTCAAGGAGTGGTCGTCGGTTGTAGCCGATGTTGGCTCGACAGCAATGTTTTTTTTCAACCAAGATTATCGCCACTATTTATGTGAAATCCTGAGGATCAAAGCTCAGCACGCAGTGCTATCTGCGCGGGCCATTGAAGCAGATCAATACCACTTTTGGCCATATTCTGACATTCTAATATCCCAAGCATGAGGCGCCAGCTGCAGGGTACGGATGTTCTCCACCGCGGGCATTTACCGGAAAGTTTATCATAACGTGAGGTGGAGATGTGGCCAACTATCTTACCTCAAAATGACATTTATATAACTTCAGAAATCGTAGGATTTCCGTACATGCCAGTACTCAGGGGACCAATTGAACGAGTTGATTGAAGAACTATCCCAGAGATCCCTGTTGAGATCGTCTCGTACCCTGAAAGGCTAGTGTTAGGGTGTTGCACGCGAATGTTCCGAGTTCCCCCGGTTTAAGGGCATCTTTGTCTTCTGTACGCGCATAACCTTGCCAAACGCTCACAGGGATTGAAAAAGCCAAGCGAGTCTTTCATGTTCGAGGTGGAGAGGCCATCCTAAACTAGTATTAATTCGGAATATCTTTTGTTGTATAAGGAAAACTTTGCTTTCTCTTGTCATTTTAAGGATCAGTTCCCCATTAACAGTCCCCTCCAAATTTCTAGTAACATCATAATTATTGTATAACCCAGCACCAAAAAAAGGATCTCAGAATCCAGACCTATAGACATTCCAGCAGTCAGGGCGCACTAAGCTATCTCGAATGCGGGATTCATTGATAATGGAGTGTCTTTAGGATGTGGCAATATAGGTGGACAAGGGGAAATAACAAAACGAACGTTAGCACGGAGTTTAAGCAGTGGTATCAGGTTTTATGTTATTAGCATTAACTATAAATAGTGTGGAACGTCTTTAACTTTAAATTTCATAGGTAGATCAATCGGTCCCCTGGGTTCGATCAGCCAATGGTCGGCTCGGAATTCAAAGCCGAGAGACCGCAAGTCGGGATTGTATCCCCTCCCTCTTATTCCGATCTACACGGGACACTGGCCTCCCTGGTCGATCTACCGGTAACAATTCTAAGGACATCATCGCAGTATTCGCACCCTTTAGCGGCATAGGTAGCCTAACCATATAGACAACCCATCCAGCACGAACTTTTACGGATTAAAGTCAGGCTGCGGTCACTCTGAGTGAGCGAAGATATTACTTGACTCTTAGGTGAACGCCATCTGCAGCGAACATCTGCATGAAGAAATCTTCGCCGAGGGGCCTGCTCGCATCGGGAATGTGCCGAAGACTTGCCCGAAGACCTGCTCGAAACTTTGACCAGGAATCCGCGCCGAGGAATCCGCGCCAAGAACCTTCACCGAGAACCTTCCCAGTAGATTTCACGAATGGTGTCATGTACTCAGTACTTAGCGTGGTCTTGCAACCTCTCTTGTCCGGAAAGTCTCATGGAAACTCAATTGAAATTAGTTATACGAAGAACGATGGAATTATGTGAGCTATTCGCCTCTGGATCTGAGGCGATGTTTCTGGGATATTTCATCTACTTCCGCTATTATAGTGAATCAGATATGCGACAGCCAACATGTGTGTACCCACGTGCTGAGCAGGGCGGCCGGAAGTTTTGGCTGCATATCTAGTCCCGGTTCAAGAATACCACTCAGTCAGCCCGCATGTCCGGTAAAGCCTTGGCCAGCAGAAGAGCTCAGACAATGACCTGCACCTGGCTTGTGGTTTAGTCAGAAAGCTGGGTCTAGAATCATTGTTGCCTCTGCTGCAGCCTCAAGTACTTGAGATGGCGGGTCAGTAATTATGTTTAACTATGTGCGGGACACGAAATCGAGGAAAGTTCCGTGCTGGCGAAGCTAGAAATACAGGTTAAGCTATTTCTTTTAACAACTACATTGCTTGTTCCCCTCGGCAAAATGAAAGAATTAGAAGTAGCCTTTTGACATCATGTAGCACAAATTCACGGCCGTGGGCGATGTGGCAAGAGTCTTGTCTCGGGAAAAAAGTGCATCCCTGCAGCAAATACTGAGATTGAAAGGAAGAGAAAAAGGAGAAGAGCTAGGGCTTCGATGGTTGCCTTCATACCCTTCGGTCTCCGCCAATCAGATGGCTCAAAACTAACTGATCTATCTACACACAGTTTTCCAGCGTCATAGACGACTCCGAAATTTTTTCGTCCCAGACACAGCCCCCGCTATTAAACCGTCAGTCTCATGACACAAGCGGGCCAAAATAACCCTGGTCCAGTTTCGCAGGTAGACATGTTTTCCCTGGGACTTATATATAAGGCTTCCCGCTCCTATACATTGCGAGGGCTTGAACTCTGATCCCCAAAAGCTACCCTACCTTACCTTGTATCTTCAATTCGCTCTGCGTCGTGCTCTGTCGTGTACTTTCACCCGGGACGACTGAATTAAGGTCACTAAATATGTACCTCAAGCACTACCTTGCAGCGCTTCTTTTTGTGCGAGTTTCTCTCGGCCAGGATTGTTCTACTTCGCAGCCCGATCCCTTCCAAATCTTCACCATCACGGCCAACAACATCACGGCCAAGTTTATTCCCTATGGAGCTCGCTTGATTTCTCTGCTTGTCCCTGATAGGGATGGTAATATGCAAGATGTCGTCGTTGGCTATGATGACCCACGTCAATATCTTAACGACACAGAGTCCAGCCATACCTATTTCGGGGCGGTCATTGGCCGAGTTGCCAATCGCATCAAGAATGGCACTTTCACCCTGGATGGAACCGAATATCATATTCCAAAGAATCAAAAGGGCTTGTACACTCTACACGGGGGAGAAACTGCCTATGATCAGCGAAACTGGACTGTGTCTGCATTCACATCTTCCTCTGTCACCTTCACGCTCTACGACGCTGCAACGGAAGGCTTCCCAGGCGATGTCGTTACTCACGCTATATTCAGCGTCAACTCCAAGCGCAATGCAGAGAATCTTGAGGGTCTTCCGCAGCTGTCGACCAAATTGGTTTCTATGGCCCTCACTGAGCCCACTCCAATCATGCTTTCCAACCACATCTACTGGAACCTGAATGGCTTTAAGCGACAGACCATCCTCAACGACACATGGTTGCAATTGCCTTTGTCCGAGCGTTTCATCGCCACAGACAGGCTTCAAGTTCCTGATGGCAGCATCTCGATGGTTGCTGGGACGAACCATAGCGCAATGGACTTTACCGCCGGCAAGATGATTGGCCAAGACATACAAGACACGGAAGGGCTTTGTGGTCCCGGCTGTGTCGGCTACGATAACTGTTTTATTATTGACCGCGACCCGTTGTACTCTGCTGCCTCCGATAGCCTTGTTCCATCTCTCAGACTGAACTCTAGCGCCACGGGGATTAGCATGGAGGTTGCTACGAACCAACCCGCAGTCCAGTTCTTCACTTGTCTGAACATGGACGGAACAATTCCCGTGAAGGCTTCTCAAGTTGAGCGAAACACCAAACAGAAGGATGCGGCTGAATTCGTTGAGAAATACGGGTGCCTCGCCATTGAACCGGAAGGCTGGATTGATGGGGTCAACAACCAACAATGGGGTCAGAAATCTAACCTGATCTATACTCCTGAGGGCCGGCCTGCCATGAATCTAGCCAAATACACCTTCGGAACTGTTTGATCCCTTCCTCTGAGAGATGCTTGTTGTCCATTATGGCAAGATTTAATATAGTTTCGAAAAGGCATACAAGAATGCGTGTTTCGCGCCAATACGAAGATTGCCAACGCCTGGTTCGCCACCTAATTGAGCTATAGGCCTAATATTGAATCTTTAAGTCTGCAGCGTTCTCCATTCCTAATTATTTAAGCGAGCCCAGGATAGGAAAGCCTTTTCGGGAGATTATAGTAGTCGCCCGCGAAGTGATACACTTCTTATTTTTGTGCCCCTCTTAAGCTATACCCTGCTATTTCCTTCCCGTATTCGTGATCGTACGACGCCGGCGCTTTGGATGGTCGGTTCGAGGCTGCCGGTGGCTGCACTGCCGTTGATTCCGTGAATTGCTCTGTTTCCTCGGACATAGCCGCCCGAACGGCCAGATGGCCTCTGAAGACATCTTGCCCTAGCTGTGCGCGTGATATCCCATGTAGTTGGGGCCCATGTCAGGGGTCAGGTGATGGAACAGCTACCAGCTCAAATTCCTTGAAATGTGCTAGTGACATTTTACTACTCCAGTTCTAATCATACGATCATGCGGGTTCCAGGATCTTCGGGACCAGTGATCAATAGATCAGAAAGATGGGTTTCGGTCCCCCAGGCCGACGCCACCATTTGCATCTTTCGCTCTGTCTTTTCCAGTCCCTGTGATCCTCAACTAGATATTAAGCCGGAAACCCCCGAAAGACGAAGATGTGAGGATAAAGCCAGGATATCAGCAGCTTTTGCAAACTGAGTGATCGGCTCTGTCGTAGGAACAGTACAAGTACTTCCATCGTCCAGCTTCAAACGCCCACCAGACGGTCCTTAGGCACCCAAGGCAGGTTCATTCAAGGTAGAACGCAATCTAACATCGAAATTTCTTGTCACTTCCGCGGCACGGTTGGTGCTCGGAGTGTTGTCAAGGGCGTCGCGGTCCATGACCTCGTGGAGCTGGCGCGAGATTGCACTAGGCTTGGTAGTGGCACCGCTGGCAACAATGGGCTTGCCCGCCGCAGCCTAGAGCTGTGCCTGCTCGTTATCGCTGCTTCGACAATCATGGTGACGTTCCTGACGCTTGGATACGGTCCAGTCGAAGACATCGTCGGATCGGAAGGACCAGGGGGCGCAAAGGTCACGAGCATCTTGCGCAGGTACGTGTAGTCAGGCTTGTCGTCGAAGTGGAGCGAGCGAGAGTAGTTTATGTATGTAGCGAACTCGGTCGGGAAACCACTCCAGCGAACCTCAGTTGGAGTGGTGATCTTCTGCATAATGCCGCAGGATTTCTGCTTCGGGGTATCATCCTGCAGACCTTGCAGGGGCAGAGAGCTACGACAGAAATGGAGCATCATGTCGCCGAGCGACTCCATATCGTCCAGGCGTGATCGCTCGATACCCAGATGTCTACTGATACCAGCATAGCAAATAGTACCTTTAAGATCATTCCTGTCTTGTTTTCCTTAACCTGGAAGTAGATAATGGTATGAATTGTAGAGGTCACAGGATGGAGATAAGATTCAACTAATCCAACGCTTACGAGAATAGCAAAGGCATAGAGGAGGCCAAGCTGCTTGGAAGTGGATAATGTGAGATATGGGACAGATGCCAATAGAACAGGGCCTGGGACAGCTTTTATATATTCAAAATTGAGCCCTTCACCTGCGACGACAGCTGAGCAACCCAAAGCTTGTTTTCGCCGAGGAGGAACATCCTGCCGTTGCGACCAAAGCTGAAGTTGGCAATTCCCCCCTTAACCAAAATCTTGCCAAGAAGAACGCCACCTGGCGACCAGATGTTGATGCCATCTCCGCAGCCACTGTACACATTGCCTTGGAGGTCGGTCTTGATGCCGTCCGGAGCTCCGGTATCAGCCATGGCAAATACACGGCGGTTGGTTAGGGTGGGCGCGCCGTTGATCATGGTCAAGTTGTATGCGTAGCTATTGGTTTGTTCAGGTCAGAGATATCCTAATAACAGAAACGTCTTTTTATTGAATGCCCCGGGAGAAATCACATACATAGTCGACACTCTCGTGGGGTCTATTGTTCCGTCACCGTGGTTGTAGTCTGTATCCGTAATATAAACAGTCCTCTGATCCGGCGAGAAGCTGATTCCATTCGTGCGGCCAAATCCATCTGCCACGACGCGAATCTCTTTCGTCTTGGGGTCGAAGCGATAGACCTGGTTGGGCAGACAGGGGGGCGGACGGATCTTTTGCTCGAAACCGTAGATCGGGTCTGTGAACCACATCGAGCCGTCGGCATGCAGGACGACATCATTCAACGAGTTGAACTGGCGGCCGTAGAAATTGTCAATAAGCAGCTCGGAGGTGTATGGGGCCTGGATGGACATGTAGAAGAGACCTCCAGTGGAGTTGAGAGTGCCTTGCCCGCACCAGAGGATCCCATCTTCATAGTTGATTCCTCCGTTCGCCATGGGAATATCGGTGTTGAGGATCTCGGCAGTAACTGGAGCCGAATCATTTCCCAGATTCACTTTGGTAATGACGATGGTCTTCTGTTGAGTGGCCGGATCGATGAATTGATTGCTGCTCAAGTAGAGCTCATTGGTGCTCGGAATGAAGACGCCGGCTTCGTGCGCAAACGGGTAGGTATCATTCTCGAGAATAACTTCGAGCGTAGGCGCCGGCCCAATGATGTCCAGGAATCTGTTGTCATAGACGGCGAATGTGGAAGGAATCGGAGATGAAGAGCTAGCTGGCTGGTCTGCGAAGCCCACGCTGGTCGCCATAGCGAGAGTGGATGGTTTTGCAAGGGGACTCACCTCTGCAACCCAGGATATTCACATCTTCGAGCTAGCACCCATCAATTTTGCATTGCAGGGGTCTCCATTTGGGGGAATCTACGCATGAAAGTAATCACAAACTTATTCTGATCCTTCGAGTCCGAATCAGGGCATCTCGGCGAGCCCTGTACCGGTGAATTGGAAATCCCTTCTAGGAAGATCAGTCAAATTGCCCGAGAATACTCCGTCTCGGATCTTGACGGGAATATTATTCGCTATATTTTTAAAAAGGATATTCGAAAGAGTTCGAGCTATAGACTCTGCCTTGGCCATGTTCACAAGTACGACCCCCTGATTGGCTAGCCGCGACTACTCACGCTTCCCACTGTAGATTTCTGAGCCTTTGTCAACCGCTTTGAAAAGTCTCCGTCCACCTCTTCGCTACCGCCAACTTGCCGCTCTCGCTATGTCCTTCGAAGCTCTAGACCCTCTGATATAAGCAACGCAAAGTATCTTTTCAGACCAGATTTACTTTTGAATAAGTGGTCATCCTTCATGAACAAGGTGGTCTTCGTAAAATCAATTGAGAAATGCTGCAATTTGGACACTTTTATGACCGGGAGAAAATGATGACATCGCAAGGGCGGAGACTTTGGAAGACCATTGTATGTTTACTTGTTCATTTAAAGGTCGTAGCGATCCGCTTCCTTCTGCTTTGCGGTCCCTACCTCCCTTATTCCTGCCTCCACGACTACCTAGGTGTTCCAGCCCGGCCTGCTTCAGGGGCGTACCACGTTTGAACTAGATGCTAGCTAGCTCTCTACCCGCAATCAGCCGGATTTGGATACCCTCTTATTGTAAAAATCAACCATTAAACGCAATGCCGGCATAGGTGCCCTGATTCTGTCTTCTGTTAGTGACGGGGGAAGTCGGTTACAATCTCGCGATCTTTCGCCGCGTTACAACCAACACAAGTATACCCACTAAGACGTAGACGTTGTCAGGGCAAGCTAAGATAGTCTGAGCTAGTAATCCTGTAGAGCGAATAGGCAACGAGGTAAGAGCCAGCGGAACCAATTCGAGATGAGTGAGTGGATTGATTCAAGAAAAGAACGACTAATGTGGGGCAGGTTCAATATAGCCCATAGCTGGCTAGGATACGCGGTGTTAAGACAACCGTAATACCAAAGATGGGAAATTACTATGTAAAATAGAGACGACAGTGGGTCACTCAGTATAGCTCTGGTCTGGCAGTGAAGTTACCGCCCCATGTCTCGACAAATTGATTGATGATGGTTGACTGAGCTAGCTCGTCCAATTCTACATTATGATTATCACTCAGTCTTACGTTTTGTGGGTCGGGGTTTATCTGAAATAAGATTTCATTTTGAATCTGGAGCCCGTATCCAGGAGAGAACAGTGTTACAGGACGTATAGTTGACTCTATTGTGGAATATGGAGCTCTATTCAAGAATATACCATTACCTGAACAAAATTTCAGTTTCGACTGTTTTCTGCAATTACTCCTGGGGTCTAGAGTGTTTAGACGTCTTAGAATTCAATATCCCTTGGTCACTTGCCGTTTGACAAATGGGTCACCTCCTCAACGACGAGAATAAAAATCAAAAAGCACAAAATAAACGAGTGAGTGGTTGACGCCCCTTAATATACATCCCATTTTAAATGGATAGGTAGTTGGCACACCGGGTAATGCCCAGCTGCTCAACCAAGAATTCGTTGACAAACTGGCACTTGGGATCCTGGCGCTGTTGGATTGCCAAGAACTCAGGCAGCTTCGGGAATTTCTCCAGAGCGTAAGTTGCATTAGGAGGGTTCATCTTGTTCCAGTGGGGCCGAACATTGTACTTTTCACCAAATTTAGCCATGAATTCGTATCCCAGCTCCTGGTTTTGCCAAAGAGTTGTAAAGTTGTTATAGGTTTGAATCCAGTCAATCTCGATGATAGCAAAAACACCGCTGAGATCCGAGCCAAGGTTGTAGGTATTGACCGGAGACATGTATGCATCATCACCCTTGAGCGAACGGTGCTGGATGACCATCATGTTGTTATAGGGAGCCTGCATCCGGGGAGTTTGGGACTGCTGATAACTAATATAGTCGGCGGCAGCCTCAGCGTAATACTCGATGGGAAGGAAGTGCTCGATCTCAGCATAGAACTCTCGGTCACAGACGCCTTGGGGCGGGCACGACGCGGCGTCAATGACCTCGTCGTAGCAGATGTACTCCTTCTTGCAGTCCCCACAACCATTGGCACAATAGTCGAGAGTGCAGTTGCGAACTCCAGTGTAGTTTGTCGGCTCCCAGTAGGAGTAGAAGTACGTTGGCTCCAGGTCCCAGTTCTGAGCGGCCTCATTCCAGTCAAAGTGAGGACCCCAGACAGTGACGCGGTCGTGGTCCTTGTACAGCTGGGCAAGCTCTTTACCCATCTGGGTGTAATCGGAAGTAGCATTCACGACCTTAGTAGTCTTCTTTAAGAGGAACGTAGGCTGGACCTTGATAGTCATCTCCGTGATGAGACCAAGGGCACCGAGGCTGATACGGAAAGCCTTCAGTTCTTCAGGGTTGTTCGTCTCGGTAATAACACGGAGGTTCCCCTGTGCGTCCAACACACGCAGTCCTATGATCTGACTGGCGATATTACCAATGACGGACCCAGAGCCGTGCGTACCGGTCGAGGCGGCGCCCACAAAGTTCTGAACACGCTCAACACCCAGGTTGCCGAAAGACAGATCGTTGGCTTTAAGCTCTTCGGTGAGGTCATAAACATCCCAACCAGCACCAAAGGTTACGGTCATATTTTTCTTATCGATGTTGAGCCCCTTCAGATTGGTCATCGACACGATGTAAGAGGGCTTCTCAGTGAGAGAATTGTCGACACAGGTGGAGAGGTTACCGAATCCATGACCATTTCCAACAACTTTGATGTGGGATCCCTTGGGATACTGCTCCTTAAGAAAATTGGCAACGGTGGCTTCATTGTGTGGGGCAATGTAACCGTCAGACTCGCAGGTAACCTCATACTGCCAGTTAAACCAGCGATAGGAGGACCCAAAAGCTACGTGCAGGAGCACCAACAGGAGAGCCAGCTTCGTGCGAACCATTTCGGAAACTATGTAAGATGCGAAGTCAGCTCGTTGTTTGACACGAGAAACTGGATGAAAGAACCTTTGGGATTTTTCGATAGAAATACCTTCGCCTTGGAAATACCTGAGAAGATGAATCCTCACTAGAGTAAACTTGGAAAGGAGCTGTGTTCCTACTGAAAGATCGAAGTTGGAGGGAAGACAAAGAACAAAGTCCCAGCTATATATACTCGAATCCTCTCGTCGCTCAGACATTTCAGGGACAACATTACCCAATAGATTCTGTTTATAACAATCCGCCTATTGTAATGCCAGTATTCTCCTCGTGGGTGTTCAATGCCGAATGGCACTCAACGCTCGTATAATTCGGTATGCCGAGTATGATTTCTCCCAATCTCCGGGGCACACCGAGCGAATATGTTGACCGGATTGGTAATTTGGACTCCCTCAGCCGTATCGATGATGGCTTATCCACAAGAGAAATGGCGTACTCTATGAGCAATAGCCTTCCGTCGGGGTGGCCTTTGTCCTTCATGAAGATCTCAATTAATGAAAGGCTTGACTTCACTTGGCAAATACGAGTCGGTCCACATGAATCCACCTCGTGCTGAGATTGGAGCTTGTCACCAAACGCAGGTTATGGTCCACTAGACATTTTGCACATCTCCTTTCATTTCTCACGTCAATCCAACGGTCCTTTGTCACGCCCCGCATCGGGTTGGCGGTTTGCCAGAAGCTCACGAAAGCTTAAATCATCTTGCTACCATGGCTCCAGTCACTCAACCCCTTGAGCTGACGTACCTTGAGTGCATCAATTGAATACGCCTCGATGAGGGAGTTGAGTTGAAAGGGAATCGTAGCAGTAGCAGATCCTTAACAAGTTACCACTTCGAGAGGCTTTCGGGGAGCACAAACACAAACTTAAGATGTGGGCTTATATCAAAGGCGAAATTAGGATAGGACCGGATGAGACATACGGATAGAGGTATTTTACTCAACTTCGGCTTGCCGAATTGCGCCCGACGCTCTATAATTCGGCATGCGGCATATGATTTTCTCCCAATCTCCGGGGCGTACCGAGCGAATATGTTGACCGGATTGATAATTTGGACCGATCCAGCCGTATCACTGATTTCTTATCTGGGATACTAACTGAAAATGACCATGTGGCGCAGCCAAGACTTAAGAAAGCGCTTGGACCTGAACCTTCATCAGAAGCAGTCGAGTGGTAAGTGAAAGCGTGAACCAGCCATTAAGCCACAAGGGGCGCTTGACGCACTGTGACCCACTTGGACCCACGACGGCCCGAAGTTAAGCAGGTCACTTCCGCCTGTCTGGGAATCTATCCTTCTAGCTCGTGTTCTGATGAAATTAGCAGATTGTCGGGGCCGACCAATTAATTCTTCAGCAAAAGGCGCGAGGGATCTGAATATAGTTTTCCTATCACGAAATCAATTGACTTTAGAGCCCCTGTCACTCGTTATGTGCCAAAACCAAAGTCCCGGTGAGGGAAGTGGCAATCTGGTTTGCTTCCGGGTTGGGAACCAAGGCGCAGGGGACTTTGCGAATGAAAAAGTGTACTAAATGCTTTTTGAAGCAAATAGTATGGCGAGATGCGAGGAGTATACTCGCGCCTAGCGAGGAAGAGGCTGGGCCCTATTAGAAAGCGTCGGACCGATTTATACATACTTCCCCGATTGCGTTATGGCACATTTCTTACATCATTACTATCCTAGCCGAGGCGCGAAGAGACCTGCCGACCTAGAAGGTAAGGCTATGCAGACCGACATAAGGAGGAGAAAGAAACAACCGGGTATTCAGTAGCGCTCCGTCTAGCAGTAGTACACGAGGGAATGGATAAATAGTTTATATTAGGTCTATAGCAGTTTCCAGAATCAGTTATAATTCTGAGCAGAATCCCAGTCACGACTAGGTGTCTATTGCTACCCTATGAAGCTATACAAGGGTTTCCAGATATGGTAACTCCAGCCGCCTGCACAATGTTGGGCACATCTGCAAAGTAGTTGAGGTTCTCCAGTTCCTTCCGAAGGATATTTCAGTCACGCAGTTTGCAAGAAGGACATTTATATTGAATATATTTTGCAGGTTATTATTACTTTCCTGAAATTTTCCCTCTGCGATACTCTGTGTATATTAGTGATCCCGTGCCACTTCATAGACCCTTTGGTTCCTGCGGCCCCAACTCCACAGGGACAGGCATAGCTCTTCTCTCAGGTTCAATTGGACAAGCTTCATATTGCGGTACACCTACCGAGGCCTGAGAGTTGATTATCACGTCCTTGTTTCGGATGTTCGTCGCGTAAATTCGTCGTTGCATGAGAATTGTGATCACTGCGATTAGCAGGCATATGCCCCGTCCTGCCCCTACACCGGCTGCGACAGTGGTCTTTTGGGGGTTGGATGAGTTTATTTCCGGATTGCATGTGGCTGATTCGGTAGATTCTAGGGTATTGGATATCGTGGCGGATGGGAAAGAGTCGGATGTTGATTGCGATAATGGTGTGACAGTCACGTTTAATATCTATCCCATGTCTAGCCTGACACCATTGTGACAGCAGTCGGTCCTGTTACTGGCGCACCAGAACCCGTAGCCCTGGAGCGAACAGGATTTGGTGTACGGTGTGGCACCAGAGGCTGCACGATAGCTAAGGTTTGCGAGATTCAATGTCAGTCGAGTATCGCCAAAGCCCTTTGCAAATGAATGATGTCCAGGCCAAACGAACCCGTGTGGTCGAGACTAGGACACAGACTACTTTTCCATATTGAGTCAGTACAAGCTCCCTGTTTCAAAAGGCCCCTAAAGTATGAACTCTGAACATCACAAGCTCCTCCAGTGAGACATATATCGTTGGGTACCTCACTATCTTTCGCGACAGAGCAGCAGGCACTTTCGTCCTGGTCAGGCAAGCATGGCTGAAAGCTTGAGTCGGTTTCCTCCCTGTTTGTGTAATAACATTTTCGCGCCTGGACTACGACAAGGAAAGATGACTGTAGGGCGAGGAATTGCAGGAAGGTTTGAGCTGTAGTATGGTACATTTTTCGATTGTTCTGCTTTGATCGAAATGATATAATATGCTGAATGAAGGGGGACAATACGAAATGGAAATAAATGAATTATCCTGAGGCGCTACTCCTTGGAATATCTGTCAGTTTAAAGAATCTAGTAGAAACGTTCTACAAATTGGCATAAACAACTATACTCTATAACAGCCTATTATAGATATTTAATCCCGATACTTGTTATAAAATCAGCCACTGATCTTACTATGTCAAGGAATATCAGATATCGTAACTACTGCCCCCTTTAACATACTGAGCCGACCTTTCCACAATAATTGCTCTTCTTCTATCTATATCCTAAAGGCAGTCCTTGATCATGATCACTGCAGGTAAAATATACGCGACTAATTCGATATCCAGCGCATATTTTAGTCTAGTAGTAAAGATTACTTAGCTATAACCCCGAGTTATGTAATCTGTAAGTACAAAGATTCTACTCTCATAGTTTGGGAAAGATATCATTTATCGTCCGTGCTGATACAGCTCAGAACCAGCGGTGTAGCTCATGATTGCTCATGCGGGAACAATGTCTACTAGATCGTAGATTACAATGTCAGGGCCATCATCGGCCTATGCTATCGGGATTCCAGTCATGAGCGAGGCAAGAACCTTTGGGTCCAAAGCCTGTTCAATGTTTAACCAATACTGAAGCTCTTCAGATCTGCCCTGGTCATTCTTGACCTCATCCAGGATAGCCTTTTTGCGCTTGGAGAAGACCCTTAGCTCTTTGCATGCCACGTCGCCATTCCTCTGTAGATATTCTTTCATGACATCGCCACAGCTCATGACAATTCGACTGACAACCTGGGTGCCAGTGCTTGTTGTGGGTGTGATGCCCAAGGCCCGAGAATTTTCCGCCGAGCCTCGAGCGACGTGATGAATCAGAAGGACGATGTTTGAGATAAAGGATTCATCTGGCATATACTTTGCGGTGAAATACTGGACGAATTTATGGTGCTCCTTCGCTTTGATCAATCTCAGCAGCTCGATAGCACGTTTATGCATGCCAAAGTAGTTGAACAAGATCAGAGGCTCTTCTTCGGCCAGCCGACTCTTCAAGAGGGCGAGAAGTTGCAGTGTGCCGATGTTGCGAGTATGTAACATTGTTTGTGTATCGGATTGTTGAAGCTCCTTGCGGGTGAACCGGGGACATGACTCTTGTGAAAGCTTACTCAAGATCTTGTCAATGTTGCCATTCCCGTCACCTTCCGCAAAGCCAGCCACATACTGGGCTCGAAACATGGTTGAAATTGTAGTGGTGGGCGTAAGTACTCTAGGATTCGTTCCATCGGGTCGATGGAAGTCTTGCCTGTTACGGGAATCGCGGGCAAATCTGGCCGCGGAGGAGATGCCTGTGGCCAGTTCCAGTCGATTCAAGGACTCGCCAGCATTTTTTGGCCGCGCCCCAATGAATATATGAGACTCGCCGTGAATCTTAATGAAAGCCTCCATATCAGGCCAGCTCAGGTTCTTGTGCGTTTGAACTTTCACCAGATTGTATAGGAATGCCAGTTGTTGGACATCGTACCACTGCGTGACGAGTTGTTGGCCAACGGACTGCATCCGAATGTTGAGATGAAACAAGATCAAGCCACAAAGGGTAGAATGCTGGGAGAAAAGGACGTGTTTCTCGAGCACACTATTCCCTGGCATTGAACGGCGCCTCAGCTCTGCGAAGGGATCCTTGATGATCCATGAATCCACGGTGAAGTGGATATCTTTGATCTCCTCGTCACCCTCTTTCGGCCAGAATGGGGGCTGTGGATGGGTTTTGGAAATCTTCCAGTAGTCATCAATGATTTTTTGCACGCGCAGTCCGGACATCCGGAGGTCGTCAAATGCACTTATAGTGTTGTAACGCATGGTATGATGCACATCAAGAAGGATTTGGGAGGCGAAGCAAAGCCAAGGATCGAGCTTTTTCGTTTTGCGAAACTCAATAAGACCGGTAGTAATCGAATCCGAGCTAGGGATGCGGATACCGAATGTATCGATCATGCAAAACTCGGGTAAGAGTTGGAGAAGAAGGATCTTGTCTTCGTTGAATTTCTGACCCAGAGACATCCCCGCTCGGTTTGCCTTGGGGTCATAGATACCGAAATAGCCTTTTTTGAAGACGGGAAGATGATGATCCTGCAAAACACGGGCGAACGATTCCAGGATGATCCATGTGGGCAAATAGCACCACTCGGCTACATCGGCCATGTGTTTGTTGTATGGCAGGCCAATCTCCGCGGATGGAATCGGCAGGATACGCCGGGTGACACAGGCAGCTTTGAAAACGAGGTCCTGAATGTTTTCATCGGGAGAACGGGGGGCAGAAGCCCAGTCATCCACCACCTCCTGCACCAGACCTCGCGCCAGTTGCAATGCGCTATCAGTCACGAGAGCCGCATTCATGAGATCGATCTTTTTGTCTCGATATTCTGCCCAGGTATGGGAGATGAATGCCCGCATATTCTGCAAATCCTGGAACAAGCAGAACGCCCGGAAGAACAGATGCCCGAAATACGAAGGTGTTGCCTCATCCTCGTCAGTCTCAACCAGCTCCACCTTTACGAGCTTCTGTGATTCAGGAGCGGCTCTCTGCTCCTGTTGAGGTTCTTGTGGTTCCTCCACAGTAAGTACGGCGAATTTGTTCAGGAACATGTCCAGGTCCGCATCGCCATCTTGGCTGGACGAGGATGGAGGAGGCGGCCTACGGTCTGAATTGGAAGATTTCTTCGTTTTCCATTCCAGAGTCTCGCAAATACTCTCCAATACAGCGATAAAGTGAGTGTGCCGTTTATTACTGTCGGTGTCGCCCTGCCCCAAAAACAATGACGTGACATGTTTTCTCAATTCGATCGCTCGTTTGGCAATGGTGAGAATGGGCTCAGGCACGGTGAGAGCCGATTTGGCCACGACATCCGCGAGCACTTGGAGCTCCTTGATGGTTGTGCTGTACTGGGCTGGATCTGAGGAGGTATTGGCCGCCTTGGTTTTGCTCTGGGTTGTGCTTTTGCTTCTGTCTTCGCCTTTGTTCACTGGAGGGGCGGTCGAGGTAAGGCCATCGGGACGGTGGCCACATTTGCTGGCTGCGTCGAGTAGCCAGGCTGCAAAACTGTTGGTATCATTCTTGTATTGAGTGTAACTGCTTCGGAAGGATTTGGGCAACATGGCGCCGAGTAGTGGAGAACCAACATGTATTAAGTGGGGAAACGAGGAATGACGATTTGGTTCCTGAAAAGGATCGGTTCGCCGGCTTACATAACCCGTCTTAGGTCAGCAGCCTCACCGCCTAACTATTCCTTCCGCCTGAAGGATGGTCAATGCTTTTGCGAGCATTGTACAGAGTAATGTTTGTTTGTTTCATGATGTCGAAGGAGCACCTTCTCAACGAATGATCTCACGATGTTGCTTGTCTCATTTGTATGGATCTAGGAGGCGTAGTTCCAAATATCTGCCGTTGTCTACTCCCCAAGCATTTGGTTGCCTAGTACAATCAATATATATATATATATATATATGCAGGTTCATATCGGTGCCTCGATTGTAGGAATCCAGCTGATATACTTATTTCTCCAGGCTTTATAACCGCTTCGATATTCGCAACATACGGGGAGGTTTGCTGGTCTATCTAGTCATCTCGTGAAGATAACCCAGGTGATATTGTTTTACCTAAGGGCGTCACGTCACTCTCACTGCACTATGGTCGTCCACTGCGGGAAGAATCTCTTCGTTCACATCGGCCTGAGGGGCGGAGACGAACCTAAGCATGCATTGTCGCTCGTTCCAGGATAGAAGAAGAGCTCGAAAGTGTCTGCGAACCGACGTTTGTACGGAGGCTGTCCGGACGACTTTCCCCACTGATTGAGCCGATCGGCTAAGTTACCCTAGGTGGAACTACTAGTTGAGGTGCACCGACACTGCAAAAGGCGGAGAAACCCTCCAGACCGGTTAAAAGCGTGATTGCCGAGTCTCCACCAGGCTGACCGAATTGGTGTTCGGGGGCGCCGATCTCGGGAAAAGACTCGGGATGAGGCAAAGGATCCCCACCAGGAAGGCTGCAAACGGCGTGGAAAAAGCAATGGATCATCCGAAGCTAAGCCTTCTTGGCATAACATTGAACACGCTCACCAGAGACTCAGAGTACCCCGTGGGACTGAATCACCCTTTCTCGGGGAGTTTCCGACCCTGGGACCACCCCCGCCTTCCTTCGGCATCTGAAATCTTTGAAGTCAATAGCCGCCTTTTTTGCATGTACGATGGGGGACTGACGCTCCCCAGGTTTTTCGAAATCTTCCAAAAAAGCGACTCTTGGTATGGCCTAGACGTTCTGAAGCAGCGAAATACGACAGGGTGCTCGTCAAGTATCTCACCAAGTAGTACCTCCTCCGGAGTCCTCTGGTATTTACCGCCCTGCCGGGGCAAGTCGGCTACTATGACATCCGTTGAAAGGTGCAAGTGGAGTGTCAACATTAGTAGCATCCACTTCATAAATCGAGGGGATTCGCTTAACCTGTGAAGACTGGGGATATGATGTAACCTGGTCAAATCCCACACATGGAGGTGGCTTCCAGGGGAAAATATTTCATGCGCTGCGTGGCTATATAGAGGGCACCCTTGCCAGCCAGATTGCGTAAATCACTGTGCCCCCTCCCGAAGATTCCACGCGCCGCCATCGAAGCCCGCCATGAATCTGTGGTTTCTTACCCTCTGGGTCACTTTGGTGACAGCCTGGGTCGACAACCAAGGGACAACATGCACTTTGTACCCCGAATCCCTGATTTATAAGGGCCAGGAGGTTGATGACTCCCCGTCTATTCAACAAGCGTTTGACCTGTGTGGCACGAACGGGACGGTCATTTTCTCCGAGAACGTTTTTCACGTCAACACCGTTCTCAACACAACCAATCTGCTGAATTGTGATGTGCATCTCCGTGGCGAGCTACGCTTCTCTGCCAACGTTCCGTACTGGCGAACCCATGCCATCAGTGTTGTTCTGCAGGATCAAGTCACTGCATGGCTGTTTGGTGGCCAAAATGTGAGCTTTCACGGAGAGGGTGGCTTTTACAACGGCAATGGTCAAGCTTGGTACAATGCGAACAGGAATGAATCGAACCAGGCCGGACGTCCGATGAGCTTCACGGTCTACAACTCAACCAACCTCACTGTCGATGGACTGAGGGTGATTCAACCCCAGTTCTGGGCCACTTTTGTTTGGGCGAGCAAGAATGTGTCCTTTACCAACTTGTTTGTCAATGCGACCAGCGACAGCGAATGGGGCACCATGAACACCGACGGGTACGATTCCTGGCAGAGTGACAACTTGCTGGTGGAAAATGCCACCATTATCATGGGCGACGATTGTATCGCAGCCAAGGGAAACACCACAAACCTCCTCGCCAAGAACATCTACTGCGAAGGCGGCACCGGTGTGACGATTGGCTCGATCGGTCAATACCCAGACATGCCCGACTACAATCTCAACATCACCTTTGACAATGTGACCATCAAAGATGCCATGGATGGGGCCTATATCAAGACCTGGCAAGGCACCCGCATCTTCACCCCCAGCAACGGCGACTGGGGTGGCGGTGGAACCGGTCTGGTTAAAAATGTTACTTTCCGCAACTTTGAAATGGACAACGTGGGACTGCCGATTCAGGTCGCCCAGTGCGTTTACTCGGCGGGTTCCAACAAGAGCTGCAACACGTCGACGTTGCAGATCGAAGACGTGAAATGGGAAAACATCCGTGGCACATCCCGGTTCAACATCGCTTCGTCGATCTACTGTTCGGATGAGCGCCCGTGCCCGGGCATGTCCTTTGAGAATGTGAACATTACCAGCGTGAATGCCACTCGTGGTCAGGCGTACTATGACACGGATATCCAGTACGAACTCTTCCAGTGCACGAACGTCGTGGGTCGCAACACCTCCGGCATTCCTTGCAACCAAGCCGCACCCAGCAACTTCAGTCAGTGGATCTATGGCAACGTCGACAGCTCGGGCCTGGCGACCGCGCTTTCCGGTCATGCTGGGAACTAATGGATGTGAATATCATATTTCACCTGTACTTTATATAACGAAGGAGTTGTGTGGATAGACCGGTGATTAGATGCAGTGATGACGAATGAAAAAAGCATGGATTTGAGCAGTTCAAAAACGCCGTGGAAATAATATATGTAGTGGAATGGATACAGAGAACGAGAAGAGAAAAAATTGAAAAAAAGAGTCAACAAAGTAATACGAAATCGTTTATACCATGACTCTTGCGGGTAAGCCCAACCTGTGATCAGAAAGTTACCAATCATGCCATTGAAGATTAGTTTGTTTTTCATGGTCTCTCTAGCTTTTGATAATTCGACCTTTGGGGGTATCTGGTCCGACGAGGGATGGATATGCCAGCTTATCTTCACAATGACTGGGGTTTACCATGTACATCTTTGCTCTGGACCTGAGTTTGATGATCAACATTGAGAGGTAAGCTATGGGCCAACAACTAGATAATACGTCTGGTCTGCGCTTTAACCCTCTGGGAACGTGTGGAAGTACAGCCCGTGTTCAAAGCGATCAATTCAAAACAAGTACAACGAGATTTGCCGACTGCCGTTCTTTACTGTTTATCAGATGGTTCGACATTGGTTTCCAAGGGCCTCCCCATGCTATTCTCTGTATTTGATTGACTGCGTGGGGAATTTACTAGGCTGGAGGCGATTGGAATTCAAAGCAAAAGCCCCGTCATCATATACTAGTTGAAGCAGGAACAGGCGGCGCCTCCCAAGCGCGTAGACACTACATACTGAACTACAAATAGTACACATCACCTGTGCTAATTGATTGGCACCATGAAACCGTTTCGGATTTCGCTGCTGCAAGCTTTGTCGCCGTTCACCCGTGAAATATTGATATCTACATCAAGTGGTCAAACATTTCCAGTAAGAGACGCGATTCTTAACCATCCAATATGGGGTAAGACATTCAAGCGTGTCTCAGCCAAGAAGGTCTAATGCTTGATCTTTAGCTACGAAACTCCAGATCCCACTATTACTGCTCTAGATGGTGACCCGTGTTGAGAGGAAGTCTCGGAGAGTGAGCTGATATTGGTGCGTGAATGAGACCATGGTAAGCAAGCGAGCCACTGCGGCTTTTCAGGACAATTGATAGTCATTATAGGTTCTTTGTCAACGTGCGAAAAAAGGATGACCAAATGGCTCTGTTCCTTGTCTTCAAAATAAGGCGAATAGGGCAAAGGTTTCAAGAAAGCACTCCGAAATAATTTCCCAATACTGTCTGCGATTGCAATAACATTGATGACTGCGTTCTCTCACTCCCAACCTGACCGCCAAGATATACCATACTTCAACCCTCTTTGGCTACCGAACCAGTATAAACGTTATAATTCCAATGCTTACAATTGTCCTTAATTTCCAGTCCGCCCTTGCCATTCATGATAGCCTTCCCTCCACGCACCACTGAGAACTTCTGAGCACCCACGCCCATGCTGAAGTTGGATGTGACTATCCCCGCCGGTACCTCAATGGACACTGGTTGGTTAGAGCCACTCGTGACAATCAACGTGGCTGGCTCGGTCAACATAGTAGCTACAAAGACACTGTCGTGGAGCATGCTGACACCGTTTGGTTGCGGGAGGGAATCATTGGTGCAAGCCACGTTCTTCGGCGTCGGACGGTACCAATAAACAAGCTCGTCCTCTTCTATGACAGGAACCACTGCGCCTGACTTGTAGGCCTTTATGAAAGGCTTGTAGAGGTTTCGCCAGGCATCATGCGGCATTCCCGCTGCCCATTGGGAGGAGCCGTCGTCACTATGATTGGCGGAGTATGGTCCGATATAGTGGGATTCACCATAATCTAATATACGTTAGCCATGGAGGTTACGCTTTGGGAAGGATGATTCACCATTCCATGAGATAATCTCAATCAGGCTTGGCTGAAGCTGAAGCATCTGTTCCCAACGAAGGGTAGGAAGATCCTCACAGATGAAAACCCAATTTTTAGAGTTGAAGTGGGTTGCGAACCACGGTGATACCGCTTTTCAATGTTACCTCTAAACGTATAACAAGGATGGGAGACAAACGAGCCATATATGTCCGTCCAGCCAGATCTTTAACGAACCTCTCATCCCAGATAGTCGTCATCGGTCCGGGTATGATGCTGTTCCCTCCATCGGTCGGCCATGCATACCAGGAGAAAGCACCGTCGATGGACCGGGCAGCACCGCTCGTCGCCTCTGCCGGATCCTGAAGGTTAGGCAGGGCCCAGATGGGATGCGACGTTCCTTTTTTTACGGGCCCCCAATTGAAGCTCTCTCCAACAAACGTACTTACAATCGCAGCTCCATGATACTGCATCTGCGCTGCATGGGCGGCGTACTTTTGCATATAAGCGGTGATTTTGTCTGTATCTCCATTACTCCAATAAGCGAAATCAAAGGAGATAAAGACTTTAAAGCCGACCTGCTCGGCCGCCTGGTAAGCAAGTGCTAGCTGATCAGGGGTATAACTGTCGATGCTGGCGCAGTTAAGAGCGAATGCATCGATGCCAATTGCTTGAGCTGTAGTCATATCGGCGATCCAGTCGGCTAACTGATAGTTCTTCACAATGCCAACCTATGGTACGTCATGAATGATCCATGGGGAAAGGTCTAATCGTACTAACCATAAAGTGAGCAAAGACATACTTGCTAGGCTCTGCCTGAGCGATCAGCTCAGCTGGGGTCGCAAGGCCAGAGACTACAGCCAAAAGGCTCGTAATGACACAAAGAGCTTTGCAAATCATGATCAGTCACTGTTTGCTCTATTCTTGAAGTGAGTCTGGTCTCTCCATTGCTTCTTAGTCGTTTTCCAGGCCTTATTTATGTGGATGCTAGACCCATTGAGCGAGCGAATTCGACCTGTCCCCACCCATTCTTCCAGCGTGGCCCAGTCGAGATGGAATGTCTACTGAAGCACCCCTCAGCCAAGTGATCGACACACCATGATACACTCCTGTGTTGTACCACCATTCCCAATGTTACCCTACGGCTATGCTCTAGGGAGGTCCAGTCTGTTGACATTGGCTAGAGAGAGATTGCCGGGTGTTACATATATGGTAACCATTTGGAGGTCTGGCATCAATTGTGTCTGATTCTCTGGTTCGTTCAGTCATGTTAAATGCAGAGACTTGGATTGCTGCCATGTGCTGATGTATACGTTACAACGTACACGGCATGTTTATCCCTCATGACCCTTGCCAAGGTCATCTGTGACACTGTGGCATAAAGCATCGCGAAGCCATAAGGGTATTGCCTACCTAGCTAAGCTAGTGTTTAAACAATCAATTCGATAAGGGACTCCTGTATCCAGGACAAAAGCAGTTGCGAATAGGCTGCGTCTGTTTGCATTAGCGCCTGTCGTGCAACAATAATGCAGGTGGTCATCCGGGAGAGTTAATTAGGTTTCTGACCATGCAAGCAAGACTACCCAAAGGACAATCTGCAAGCGTATCAGCAGGTCGAGTCCACCCCGCACTTTGAAAAGTATACTTTATGCCTATCATTTGCAGAGACGGCTTTGCAAAGAAACGCGACTAATCAGATTATAAACTCAATATGCCTATGGAACAGCAGACTTCGTGCGTTGCGGTGGCCCGATAGGTTGATCCATGATGCACCATTTCCTTGGTTTGACTAGACGGGCTTTTCTGTCTACGTCTTTTTGTATAGTATCATCCGACCCTCCTCGCGAACTGCCGTCCTGTCCTATGTCAATACTACTTTTTTATTTGTCCCTCCAATCGTCTTCCTCGAGGAAGCCCTTGCCGGCGTTTGACTGGCTCCAGAGGAAGCCCTCTGACCAAACCGTCCTTTCATTTTGTTTCTTTTGTTCCTTCCTTTGTTTGTTTTCGCTCATGGTCCTCCTGAATATCCTCAGGCTGTTCCTCCTGTGGCACCTGTGAAAGCCAGAACTTGCTAATCACTCCCCCTAAGAATGTTCTGTCCACCCACTTGATGACCGCATACAAAACCAAGCCCCAACTCCACAGATATACCCCCATCATGGACGCAACCAAGAGGATTGGTCCCAAGATGACGAATGATAGTATCGCCCAGAGTAGTACAGCCACGGCCGCGAACACCAATGTACCGGCTAAAAAGATGAAGAACGGCACCCCGCAGCAGATGAGCTGACAGACCAGGAATGATGTAGCATAGGGTTTTTGTAGTGCCGCTTCGAAGATTGCCGCTTGGCGAGGCGGGGGAAAGATCCAAGCCAGCAGCCATTTCACGGTGGACTCGAACCAATCGAATGTGTTTGGGACGACGTCTCGGAACCATGCCGTCATCGGTTCATACCACGGGCCTGCCGATGTGTCTTGTGCGGCGGCATCGTCTTGCGTCTTTTCACCGGGAAACTCGCCCGGCGTAGTCAGGCTCGTGGGCTGGGTAACAGTCGTACCAAGATGTTTCGCGTGTCGTTGCGCAGTGGGCAAGGCACTGTCCGTGAGTGAGGAGCCGGCTGCGCTCGTTGTCCGATCAGTGGCGCCCTCCAGGACGCCAGACGCCGATTTCAGGGACATCCTCTGATTGTTTGTATCTAGCTATATTCTGCTGAGACCAGTTCTATCGAGGGTAGATGGACAGACCGTAGAATGAATCCGGGGCATCATATAGATGTCTATCTATCTATCTATTCTACCCTGGTTCCTCGTTTCCCCTGGCCCTATGATGTCACATAGCTGTCATTGTGGGTCGGGCAAATCAATCCAATAACAATTATGGATGGGATTATTGAGCTGTTAACCACGTTCGGACTCGTCTAGGGACACTCTCTACTGTGTAAGGTAATCGTTGGGCGTGGTGAAGTACACACTAGGAGACTATACCCTGATTACTGCTGGTCAAGTGGAAATATGATATATATATTTTGCCCTCCCCTAGATTAATGCTAACAAAGACATCGAATTCAAGTGGTTGGAGTCTGATTTCACCGTTCAGGCTGCTGTTAGTCAGTTATATCCTTACTCATCACAAAGCGTTGATATCAGGATTTAAGCCTAGTATTTCTTTGACTGGGGCTCTATATGGAAGCTCATGGCACGAGTAAAAACGGGTTGTCCTGAGGCTACAGTGGGACTTTCTTTGTAGCCCGCTCACTGGCCGGATCATCCTAGCAACCGGCCCAATCAGGGCTCTTAGCCGGAATCCCTAGGAAACATATTCTTGGCGGATGTCGAAATGGAAGATATCGCGATTCTTTTTTCTCTACGATGTCGTGGACCCGATGACAGGCGCCGATGATGCGAAGCATGTCAAGCAGGCCCGAGGGATAGTATAGCGAGTCGGTAAGCATCTCGACTGAAACAAAGTCAACCTATTGGCCATACCAGTGGCTCCCTCTTAGATCGCCGACGGTGGATACAAAGCGGAGTAAATGACTCACCCGAAGCCTTTTTATAGCTATAGCGTATATTTTCCTCTCTGATGTATGTTATTTACCTGGAATATACGTCTTGCCTGGGATATACTCTGTCTCCCATATCACGGCCCTCTTGGTTTTACAGAAGGGCTGATCATATGGGGTTTGGATATAGCAGTATTAGTTCCCCGGTAGTCCTTCCCATGGTTTCTCCCTCGGAGGCCATATCCGCTCAGGTATATATTCATCACATATATCGCACTGGCTGAAAACCGGGTGGATGCGTTGAATGGTGCTTTGGATCTCGAGGAGAATCACCGACCAACTAAGCCAAGAAAGAGTCCGTTCAAGGAGAGACTCGACGTAATGGGGGCACCCTTCCGCTGTTAAAACTACGTATAGTTGACATGGGAACAATATTCGGGAGGTACAACACAATGTGATTATTCGCAAACATATATCGTTCGCCTTGAATTCTATATTATGTAACTGTGGTACGTACTGTCTGGCGTTAAATCAAAGTCTCCTTAACTAAATACATGAATAAACGGACGCCAAAAGGTCTGCTCCTAGAGATGAGCACAGGTTCCCGTCCTCAGGACCTGCGGAGTCTCCAGCTTGTGGTCCCCAATTGGAACATCCACCCTCTCTCCCTTCACACCATTAAATCCGCAGATCGCTCCACCAGGGTTGTAGATATGAGAAACCGTCTTCTTGATGTCTAATGGGGCGTTAGCTTGATTGTTCGACAAGTCGTGAAGGAGGTGGGGGGTTCAACATACCAACTTGATGCGAGCTCATATCCGTGGGGAAGACCTGGGACCACTTTTCACCATCAGGGCCGTAGAAGAAGATGGAGACTGATTCGATTTGACGCTTTTCAGAGGTAGCAGCAGTAGCGAATGCCGCAAGGGAGGGAATCATGACGGTAAAAAGCGAAAGCTGCATGGTGATTGATGTGTGGCAAGTCTTGATATATTCAATAGAGTAGTGGACAGCCTGGAATATTTATGGAGTTATGCTTGAGATTTTGAGCCTGTGTGATGTGATTTCTTGTCATAGACAGGGTTGATACAGAGCTTTTATATGCATCGTGTGGGAATCACCCTTGGAACGCATATTTCTAAAAATAGGAATCGAAAAGGTGAAGGTTAAGCTCAGCCCTGCGAGGATTTCGGACACTGGATAGATAGATGTAACAGTATCATCATCCACATCCTCAGGCAACCTGTATCCATAGAGGCCATCCGCCAAGAACGGTCAACTGCATCACCACTTGCTGCAATATAGGTCATGGTTGTTGGTTACGAGGCATCGCCACGGCGGAATGTGGGGAACCCCAAGAATACGAAGACATGACTTTCAAAACAAAAGCCAATAGTATTTGTCCTCGTGTTGTTTAAGGCGTCCGATCAATGCGCATAAGCGTGAATGTTTCGTACTTTGTTACTCAGCCACACCGGCATCGACCATCCCTATCTACGACATCTGCTCAACACTAGAATCTATGATATTGTGATAGCACTAGTGTACGTGGTCTAGTCAATTCTATGGCCTCATTTAAAACTACTGAATGCAACTATACTAAATATAAGGTTGGATCTCAAAATACCTCCTGCCATCCAGTGCCTACGATTGAACAGACATACCAGCCACTGACAGGAGGGCAAGGAAATACATCCAATGGGAAATGAAGGAAAAGACATAGCAATGCATGCGTGTATCCGATGAGAGCAACACCTGACAGCCAAATCTACATCTGTTACGGAAACAATCACCACCCACTGATGGCTTTGATGCAACCTCACGCGCGATTGAAGATAGTGTGCCCATCCGCAACCCTAAATTGTTCCGTGAACCATTTGATGAGAGAAGAAGCATCCGTGGTGGTTTACTAGTCTGCAGTGTTTGCACAGCAACGAATGGATATTCCTAGTTGCATGAGATCGTCGTGATTAGGCCACCTGGGGGGGCATTGACCGCTCCGAATTTGGTCGCCTTACAGGGGTCGAAGCTTGTAGAGGGCCTTAAAATACATTTCTCTATTATTCTGGTTGTGCCTCTACGGGGCTCACGGTGCTGGGTTCCGTAGGTCGAGACTCCTCGGGCGCCTTACAGTTGTAGCTCCTGCTTGGCATTATGGCGAAGTCTACTTCGAGTTACGCCGGTAAATCCACATGGAACACCGGTAAACTTCTATTCCTGCGCTTGTCAGGTATCAAGCTCTTCTAGGCAAAAGGAATACAACCTTCAAGGGTTGCGAAAGTCTATAAGTCCAGGCGTAATCACTGGGGAGCATACTCTCGTCAACATCATCAACACCACACCTCAATAAACACTACGATCTACTTCTCCTCTCAGAACACCTTTACAATTCAATTCTTCCACAATGAAGGTCTCTATTGCTGCCCTTATTCTGGCGGTTACCTCGGCCATTGCTACTCCCATTGCCAGTAAGCGCGATGGCTCGTTCGTGATCAGTGATCTCAAGGCGCGCGAGTCTCTCTCCAACACCATGAGCTTCAAGCTCCAGGACGGCGATGCCTCAATTGATTGCAACCTGATCTGGTGAACTTCATCTTTCTGTCACACAATATACACCTTGGATTACTGACCAGCTCGTCGTATACACAGGAGCGGAAAGGCACCAGAGGAAAATGCCCGATGCAACGACAGCAAGCATCTTATCCAATTCCCCGATGGCTTTGAGTTTGGAAAGTTTACCCTGGCGATTGAGCGTATTGAGCCCAACCCGATAGGTGGTCGTGCTTATCTTGATGAGCACGATGGGAAGTGGAACTGCGTCGACAACCCGGAGGACCACGTCTACAAGGACTGCAAGTACGACGGTGACTACACCATCCAGCTATGACTGATCCATGGGGAGACATTTTGAAGTCGAATTATGCGAGGATGTAATTTTGATTTGGTTCCATGGGTGGATGGAAAACAGGGTTCTAGTACTTAATAATTGTCATTCGTTGATTTGATTCACTAGAAATACAATTAATTCATGCTATGGACAATTATTGACAAATATGAGTGCCAATTGTCCTTCACATATTCTTGTAGATATGACCCAGATTCAAAAACTGCCCAACACTAGCCAACGTAGTGTCATTTCATATTGCGATGCCGATCTTTTATAAAGGCTTCTTGACCCCACCACCGGCTATTCCCAACCATTGCCGAGGGTCCGAGGGTGGGGTTTATTCATACATGCGTGGCTCGAGCACCTCCACGATCTTGTTTGCGATGTCGAAGAAAGAATATCATTTCGTGTATAGTCATACCCAGATTGTGAAACCATGACAACCCGAACAGAGCGTCTAGCCACCTGGGCCTCGGGACTGCAATATGATGACATCCCACAGGATGTGATCCAGCGGACCAAAGACCTCTTCCTGGACTGGTTCGGGTGTACCATTGCTGGCCGTCATCACCCTGCTGTGAAGGCCATTGCGATCTTTGTGCAGCAGATGGGCCCCACGTCAGGGAAGAGTGAGTTGGTAGATAGCGAGCTGGGTTTCAGCACAAGCCCTGCCTTTGCAGCAATGGTAAACGCGGCTTCATCGCACGTTGTGGAGCAGGATGATTTGCATAATCGAAGTATTTTGCACCCTGCGACGGTTATCTTCCCTGCTGCTTTGGCCGTGGCGCAGGATGTAAATGCGAATGGAAGAGACTTCATTACGGCCTGCGTGGTTGGATACGAGGTAGGATGTCGGGTAGGAGAATTCCTTGGGAAGAGTCACTATGCAGTATGCACATCCTCAAGCTTTTACAGCAGGCTACCACGTTAACATTCTCCAAACAGCGTTTCCATTCCACTGCAACTGGCGGGGTCATTGGTGTGGCCGCTGCAACGGCCCGTCTTCTGGGTCTCGACTCCGCGGCCATGCTATCATCGATCGGAACTGCGGGAACCCAGGCGTCGGGCTTATGGCAGTTTCTCTTGGATGCTACGCATTCAAAGCAAGTTCACACGGGCAAGGCCTGCTTCGATGGAATCTTCGCCGCCTACGCCGCGAAATCCGGGTTATTAGGGCCTAAGGATGTGCTGGAAGGGCCTAAGGGCATGGGCGTCGCGCTCGTCCCGGATACGCCCATCCCCACTGCAATTGATACGGACCTCGGACTTGATTGGGCCGTGCTGGGAAGTAGTTTCAAATGGCACGCATCCTGTCGCCATACCCATCCAAGCGTTGACGCCTTGCTACACATTCTTTCCGCACATGCTATCAAATTCGAAGATATTGACTCGGTCGTAACGAGAACATATCAAGCAGCATTCGACGTACTCGGGCTCAGTGGACGGGGTGAAACAATCCATCAGAGTAAATTTAATATGGGATTCGTTCTCGCTGTAACGGCGCAGAAGGGGCAGGCATTGATAACGGATTTTAAAGAGGAAGCACTGCAGGATGCATCATTGAGGAATTTCCAGGAACGTGTTAGGATGGAATTGGACGAGGATATAAATGCGGCATTCCCGCAAAAGTGGCAGGGCCAGGTAATTGTAACTTGCAAGTCTGGTGAGAGATATGAAAAGTTTGTGGAGTATTTGAAAGGAGATCCCCAAAGTCCATTGACGAGGTATGCCCAATTGAATATCCCCATGGTGGTGAGTGATTCTAGTTGAGCTGACTGGACGGTGCCATAGAAACGAGATTGAGACCAAATTTAAGGCTCTGGCCCAGTATGGTGGAGTGAAAGACGCAGATCGGATCCAGCAAATTATCACCAGGGCATGGAACCTCGAGAATCAAGACAGTCTCAAGGAACTGTGGCTCTAGTCTAGAGACTGAAAATCCTGTACATCGGATACATTGGCAACAATAATAGAATCAATCCCTTGCTTCAGCTCTGCTGCTCGGCCATATCTGCGTATACTGATTCACTCATCTTCATTCCTTGAAAAAAAGATAATACTATACAGTGGGCCATGAAGGGATTGGTAACTAGTGTCACTTCCATACTGGCTCTGCTTGTAATGGCTCATTTGTGGCTGCCAACACCAAATATAACGGCAAGGCCTGCTTTCTATAGGATAATCCTCCACCCCAAAGATTCATGGCGAGCGACGTAATTTCTTGTCTGGCGTCCTCAGAATTCGGCTATCAACCAGCCGATTTAGTTCTCTTTCTAACGCAACTTACTCTTCCCCTGCAAACTCGGTCAAAGCGCCAAACCCGTCAACAGGGGCCTTACAACATGCTTGCGTCAAAGGGCGAAAGCCTTTTGAGAAACTCCGTCGCAGCTTCGTATTCCCTTTCTATAACGTGACGATGTTGATCGGAGCGAACTTGTAGGCTCAGATGCAAGTTCCGCGGCCTGATGTTGAACCCATTCGTATAATCTAATGTGTCATAGGTTTGCCCAGGAATAGGTTGAATATGGAAGCACCACAGTAGCCGACTCAGCGTAATGAGTAGAGTGTTAGTTGCAAGATCTGCGCCAGGGCAGATGCGACGACCCCAGCCGAATGAACTATGACCAAGTTTACTGGGATGCGCAGAGCCCTTTTCTTGTTCAACCGATGCGATGTATTCCTTCGGGAGATAGGGCAACAGATGCGGATCCATGCCTAGAAATCGAAGAGGATTGAACCGATCCGGATTCGGATAATAGTTAGGGTTCATATTGATTGCCCACGAATTTCCCAACATCACCGTTCCGCGAGGAATATAGAACCCACGATAATAATCATCCTCGGAACAAGCATGTGGTGTGCCACCCAATACAGCCACAGGACGCCAGCGCAGGACTTCCTTGCAAAGTGCACATAGATATGGGAGGCTGGGTATATCCTCAAACGTAGGTAATCGATGAGGCCCTACCACCGTATCTAATTCAGCCTGTGCTATCTCCAGCATTGTGGGGTTTGTCACGATCGCTAGCATAGCTGAACATAAAGTGGAAGACGTGGTATCGGATCCGGCACCGAAGAGGGACGCAGGAATGTAGCTGAAATCTCGCTCAGTCAACGGAAATGCTTTCGAGTCCGAATCTCTGGTCTCCAGCAGCTGCTTGGTTAAACTATTGAAAAGAGGCTCTGCTCCTGGGGTCTGTTTCACGGACTCAATATCCTGTCGCACCACCCGAACAAGTCTCATGTTTGCCTCAGCCTCGAGACGACCATGGCGTTTGATCTCCGCCTTCCATGGTGCAATCCAATCCGGTAGATACTTCAACATCGGGAAGGACTCGACCAGGTATGCCCCTGGGACATTCAAGCTGGAGGCGTACTGCATGAATTCAAGCCGCTGTTTAATCACCGGCGACTGGGCATTGTCGACACGGTGCCCATACGAGACGGCAAAGACAATAGACGATGCGAGCCGATCGAACAGTGCTTCCCATTCATGCGAACATTCTAGTAGCTGGTAGCATAATCGACTCGACTCCGCCTGCTGCAATGGCTTGTAGTTGTCTAGCGCTCGGGGCGTTAGGGCCGAATGCAGGAGCCGCCGGCGAATGAGCCATTCCTTGCCATACGGTTGAACCAGGATGCTGGCCATATCCCAGTAGATTTCACCCATCGTGACAAACCGTGGCCGTGTGCTGTATTTTGTAGAGCGTTTTTCGAGGAGCTCGGAGGCGATCACCGGGTCAGATATCACCACCGTGGGCCGACGGCCCAGCCAGATGGTATAGATTGGGCCATATATTTTGGACCATTCCTGAAACCTAATCCAAGGGTGCTTGGAAGGGATTTGGAATTTGTTTCCAATCAGTGGAATTGGGGAAGGGCCTGGAGGCAAGCACTTCCACAAGTACACATCGTGGATGATTATAGCCAGGACGATGAGAATGATGCAGCAACTGATCCCCCAGGCTGGGTTGGAGAGGAGTGAGCGGATACCATCCATGATACAGTTTTCTGGTGTACGGCGGACAAGTCTTGAAGAGCGCGTCATTTCTTATAGAGCACGAGCATAGACCGTAATTACAAATAAGAGACAGATGATGATTTAACCGAGTGCTGCGGGGGATATGCAAGTATTCGAATTCGAATTGCCGACGTGAACGAGACAAGTGGCGTTACATGTGGGGGAATGATCATATTATGCTTGCCATACGTTGTTGGTAAGAATTCCAAAGAAACACCAAGGCCTAATCTAAACCTATGTCTACCATGACTATAACGAGGGCTTGATAGGACTTGGGTACTTGACAAAGGCGAGAGGACCGGTAGTCGCCAAAACCCCACTGGCTTTGCCGGTGATTCTGGGGTCCTCCCCAATATAATTAGTCGGATATCCAACGTCCAGCGGCTTGATGCTTTCAAGGTATTCGATTTGGGCATCAGTTAGGCGGATCTCCAGTGCTTTGAGGTTGTCTTGGAGATGCTCAATCTTTCGCCCGCCGATTATGGGAAAGACATAAGGTGCTTTCGATAGCACATATGCTAGCGCGATGGTCGTTACGGAGTCCACTCCATGTTCGGCGGCTACTTTCTCGAGTGCCTCGCTCATTCTAGCTTCGTCGTCAGTCTGGGTCGCATTCCCGATCGCGCGGAGGCCTTCGCCTGCGCTTTTGCGAGCCTCGAGCTGCTTCTTCGACTGAAATTTCCCACCACCTAGAGAATCCCATGGTGCAATTGCCATACCGAAGTGCCGGACCATCGGCAAAATATCTTTCTCCAGGTCACGGCGGAGAACGTTCCATCTCCCCTGGTAAATACTAAACGGCGTCTTTCCATTGGCCTTCGCGTAGAAGTTTGCCGCCGATACGACCCAGGCTGGAGTATTAGACACTCCCAGGTAGAGCACTTTGCCTTGTTGTACAAGTATATGAAGACTATCCATCACCTCCTCAATCGACGTGGTTTGGTCCCACCAGTGAACATAGAGGATGTCGATCCAGTCTGTTTGCAGTTTGTGAAGCGAGTCTCGAACTGACATGTGTAGACTTCGCCGCGAATTTCCCGAGTAATTAACATAAGAGGCTTTTCCAAGCTCATAGTCTCGGTAGGCGGTGGTGTATTTGGTCGCAAGGACCATGTTATCCCGATTGCCACGAGCGTTCATCCATTCACCAATCCATCGCTCCGATTGCTCGTCTTGGTAGTTGTTCGAGGTGTCAATACAGTTGCCTCCTGCATCAACGTATGCATCGAGAAGATCGAAAGCCTTGGACTTCGGCATGCTGCCCATGAAGCTAGACCATGACTCTCCAATGGACATACCCCCTAACTGTAGAGGAGACACTCGGATACTAGCAGACGCAGAAAGAGGCCGTAGGCGCCCAAGAGGGGTTGCAGGCTCAGGTGCACGCTGAAGAAATGACATCTTGGTAATTCAGGCAATATAAATTGAACGACGCTATGTCGAAGGGTTTTGTTGTTGTGTCCAGCTTTTATACATCCGAAACCAAGGGGAGGGCAGTATCCCCTTTATCTTCAGGAACTGATATTTGACTAACACACCAGCCCTCAAGATCTCATAGTATGCGCTATGTTCGTCTCGGTTTGGCAGAGAATCAACAAACGGAAATCTCCGGTGAGAATGAAGGCTTCTAACCCACATTCCCCACATCATGATGTGGCGTTAATTCCCCCACATCGTCGTCAACCATGATTTCTAACTAAAGAGGCAAGTTGCATACAGTCACGGCAATCAGTCTTAACAATAAGTGCCGGACCAATAATATCGCGCCCGTACATAGAGAGTGGATGTCCGGTGTCGAGGTTCATGACCATGCTGGAGTGTGCAGTCGTCGAAGCGGCACATCATGCTTATCGTTGCCCTAAGTACACATTTCGGGGCTTTATAACTTGAACTTCTAGAGGTCTCAGGCTTATGTGGCACAAGTGCTGCCGCACTGGGAATGCGCCTGCATAAAAAGAAGTTCAATCGTTAAGCCTGAGCAGGTTGGAAGAAGCTTGATTAATTGATACTCCTCTAGGGCCAGGGCTCGAATACGGATATATCCCGAGGAGTCACCTGCTACAGTACCTTAAGGAGATCAACAGCGGGCTAGGCTTGAGAAACCATATGAAATCATACTGCGACTATCGATTTCATGGCCAAGTTAAGTTGTTTATGCGGGGTGGACTTTTTATCCTACAACGAATTAGAGATGCGCCAATTGAGATTTCCCTGAGGGGCTTCCCCGCATTTATTTTTCTGGGGTAAAATCACTGGACAGTCGCGTTAATCGGGGTTTTTTGGTGCCGAAGACTGGCCGCGACGTTCCATGCTTCCTCATCTGTCTTATGCTCAATACCGTATTTCTCTGGACTCTTACTGGCAACATCCTTGTGAGGACAGCTAGAGCCGAAAGACATGAAAGCCGTACGGAGGGTGAAACCACGGAGGGTTCCGTGTCCCTTGTGCACCAAGTCATTCACTCGTACGGAGCACCTGCAGAGACATCTTGGATCTCGTACGTGGGCGATTGAGGTTCGATATATTGTGCCATTCCTTTGCTGACAGACATCGTGTTCAGATGGCGTAGGGAAAGCAGTAGTATGTCCCGAGTGTGGAAAGGAGTTTATGCGCAAGTACGTGGGCCCTGAAACAACATAGAGCAAATTACAGAAAACTAACGAGGCTCTACTGAAGAGATGTGATGAAACGCCACCTTACCAAATGCCAACTCAAATCCCGGACCATCCCAGTAGGAGAAGCAGGAGCTACAACAACCAGTCACACTCTACCTGCAGAACAACAACTGACGCCAAATACGGATGGCGTTGAGACTCCAGACCAGGGTACACTGAATGAAATCAATAATCTGCCGACCAAGAAATACAGCCTAAGGTCGGGTGGGAGCCACCCAGAATCGATTGAACAAGGGGACGATAATCAAGAAACCGAAACCAATGGACATTGCATCCTGCCGGACAGCTCCCTGGCTGAGCTTCGGTGGAGTAATAGACAATTTGAAGACATACAGCTGCTCCTGGATCCCATCCTGTTTGACAGAGTCGAGCACAACCACTCCCTACAATTGCCGTCGGCTGTTGGTGTTCCATGCATTGACATTGATCCGGCTGATACATTCAGTTTCCTCGCCCGCATCTCCAGCAAGGAGAGTGCTTCACTCCAGGCCCGTTATGACTGTAGCGCGATACTTAAGAGAGGGTTGGAAGGGCCGGAAGTGATCGATGATACTATCGGAAGGCAAGGAGTACTACCATTTACAGATCCTCCCTCTTCCCTCGGGGATTCATGGTCTGGTAGTAGGTTTCTTCTTTTCGCATTTTTCTGAATATTATTACCACGGACCAAATCACTCCCTAGACATATCAAAAACAGGTCTTTGCACACCAGCTAGCCCTATATATAACCCTCCTACGACACTCTTCACTTCACGCTGTATTTCTTTGTCCCATATATCTAATGATCTTGCAGATGTTACGTGCGAGCCCTGGTACCACACATGGTTATCTTCTACACCGGCACCACCGTCTTCAGGACCTGCATACCAAATCATACATCAAATCAGAAGCCTTTCGCAGCATTCTAGAATTATGCATACATGGTCTCCACAGCTCGAGAAGGAATGCATTCGCTTTTTCAGTCCAAAGAATGTAGAGAGGTTTATCAGGATTTACTGGACCGCATGGCATCCTCATTATCCAGTTATTCATAAGCCAACGTTTTCTATCGCAAATGCTCCAGCGCACCTCACAGCAGCCATGGCCATCATGGGAGCATGTTTCTCCCAAAGTCCAAATGATAACCGCAACGTAAAATTATGGCTGAATAGTGTGGAAGAGATGGTATTTAGCAATAAATATTTCGGAGACCTTATGCTGCAGGACCCGGCTACCATTAACATACGGGACATCATACAGCTCCTGCAGGCAGCATACTGCGTTTGCACCTTTCAAATCAGTGAAGGGAGTCATATTAGCCGACGAAGGATTCGTCGTGAGCGTTTCAGTATGCTTGTTTCCGTAAGTAGTTAGGTTAGATTCATGGTATCTCCATCGCTAATGTAGACTAGTTGGCAAGAGACTTAAACTTGTTCAGCATCAAACACAATGATCTGAACGCAGTACACGGAGGCGATTTCTGTTGGGACACCTTTATTGCGACTGAGGAATGTATTCGGTAAGTGCACGCGACGAAATGCCCTACTCGTACCTTTTGCTAACGTCATGCTAGAACTATGCTTTTCATATATATCAATGATACCGGATTTGCGATCTTCAGCAACTACCCACCTCGCACGAGGATCCAAGAAATGTCATTGGGAATGGCATGTCCGGAGGCTTGTTTTCAAGCCCAGTCTGCAGCAGAGTGCCTCTCTGCGATTAGAACATGGACAGCACATCCTCTATGGGGGTGCAGAAGGACGCTGCGTGAGATTGTGCAGATCATGTTCTGGAAAGATATTAATCTCGATGTACGAGCCTACCTCTCCCACCTGGGGATACTGAACCTTTGGATTGTGTGTTCCGGTAAGAACGACACCGCTATCAGTGGCTAGAATATAGCCCATAGCCTCCCAGACCTTCGACTCGGGATTTTCTTGCGTATATGAGCCGCTACTGACCATGGTCTGTGCAGCACTCTGTGCCGAAGCCTTCCAGATTAATTCTCTTATCAGTGTCGACACCCAACTCCAGCCTATGCGCACAGCGCTCCACAACTGGAAGTTAGCTTGGAATCAGCGCTTCGCTATACAGGATAGTTTTGGCCTACCAAAGGAGGAGGACAATATTTTTGTGGGTATTGACGATTATTGGCGACGGTTGGGGTTTTTTCAGAACGCGTCGGAATATTGGTTATTGCTAAATATCCTCATTCGACGAATTGACGAACGGCAGCGGAATCAGCAGACTCCATCGGTTCAATCTGATATTGAACTCACCACCTCGGTCATCGACAGGCCATATACACCTTCGAGATGCGACTCACCCACAATGTTAGATCTGAAAAGTCTCATATCGGAACATCATCGTCAGCTCAAGCCGTATGCGTGACCCCGGCACGCTGTGAATGACTTCTTATGGGGTTGGACTGTTCTGCCTCGAGCACTACATCTGTGGCGGATAAATGCAGGAAAGGCTCCATAGCTCTATGATCGCAAAGGCCTTTGGACTTGTCCACCATGTAATAGGTGTCTTTGAAGCAGTAGAGATGATAGTACGGAAAAATTGAAACCGTGCACCCAGAAGCAGGGCCTTAATCATGGAAGATCTGAGTAGGGAGTGACTATGCTCACGCGGGGGTCTTATCGCTTTCAGATAGGGGCTTTCGGCTGAGCATTTCCCATTGTATACAGATGATGATGTACAGGCATAGATGCTTGAGCGAAAATCGAAAATAATGTGCTTGTTACTCGGCTATAGCGTGTGTCCTCATCCGCCACATTTCTCGTACCCCACACACCCATGGAGTGAGCTTGGAGAGACACCACCACACTGCCTCGGCAGCTGCGCATACTTGAACAAATGCATGGCATGCTATAGTTGATGTTTTATTTTTAAAGCCGTCTAATGTCTCTAATAACATTGATCTGGCGCCATCGTGGGTAAAATCTTTCATCTTCGACTATCCTCTGGCGACATCAAAGAACCACACGCATCGAGACGATGGACGCCACCAGCCAGCCCTCTCCCCCACCGTCCGACAAATCGCGGATTCATGTTATAATTGTTGGAGCTGGTAAAGCCGCTCCTTCCCGGCCACTTCTCTAATGTCACTAAAACTGTGAAAATAGGGTTCGCAGGCCTCGGTACTGCCATAGAATGTCATCGCCAGGGTCTCTCTGTCGCAGTGTATGAGCGATTTCCCGCCTTGAAACCATTGGGCGATATACTCTCATTTGGAAGTAATGGAGGCCGGATCTTTGCGCGATGGGGCCCGGTGGTTGACCGCATGCTTCCTGTTAGCATCAATCTCCAAGACTACGGGTTTCGCATTCACAAGTACACGGGAGAGCATGTCCACACACAACCTTCCATGCCTTTTAATCGACAGGCCCCCACGATTAATGGACATCGGGGAGAGCTACACCAAATCCTATTCAACTATGCTCGGGACGACCTAAACATTCCTATTAATCTCGGTTGCCCGGTAACTGGATACTTCGAGAGCACCACTGGGGCAGGAATCCAGCTCGCTTCAGGAGAAAAGGTGCACACGGACCATGATATATGCAAGAGCTTCAGCTGACCGGTGCTAGATTTATGGAGATGTTGTCATTGGCTCAGACGGCGTTCGCTCCCTAGCTCGAGCCTTGGTTCTAGGTCGTGAGACAGAGCTTGAGTCTAGCGGTTATGCTATATTTCGCGCTTGGTGTGTGTCGCTGGTTCCTGTCATTGGGCTAAATGAAGCTAACTGGTCGAAAGGTTTTCAAACGAAGATATCCTCGCCGATCCCCTGACTAGACATATATGTGAGAACGGAGATACCTTCAATGGCTGGATTGGTCCAGATGTACATCTCCTGGTTTCATCCTTAAAAAGGGGCAAGGATGTCTGTTGGGTACTAACGCATAAGGTGGGTCACAGCTAGCCCCGACGATCGTGAGTTGTGTCATGGCCAAAAAAATACTAATACGTCTCTTATCATAGGATACATCTGAAATTAGCGATCGCTGGTCGTTTCCAGGTAAACTTGCAGATGTCTATAAGGTCTTAGAAGGTTGGGACCCAATCTGCAAGCGCATCGTTTCGAAAACGCCCGAGTCGTCCCTGGTCGATTGGAAACTCATCTGGCAAGACCCATTGCCTACCTGGATCAGCAAACACGGGCGTATTGCTCTTGCTGGTGACTCCGCTCATGCATTCCTTCCCACATCCGCTCAGGGCGCAACACAGGCGCTAGAGGATGGTGTCACAATCGCGATTTGTCTGAGCAGGGCTGGAAAATCCAGGATCCCCGACGCTCTACATGCCTTCGAAAAGATTCGGTGAGGCCTGAAATCCACTTATACATGTGAGCCACTTCTGACTCGGTATTGCAGGTACGATCGTGTACGGAAGGTGCAGGAAACAGGCAAAACAACTCGGGATAAATGGCACAATGCGAGTTGGGATAACGTGAAACGCGACCCGAAAGCGATCGAACTGCCACGAGAGGACTGGATATTGAATCATGATGCAGAGGAGTATGCTAACAAGATGTGTGAGGAGATATTCGGTGCCAGCTCCAACAGAAGGGGCAGGGGCGAAAGCAGAATATGAGGTAGCAGTTGTGATCCAGATTATCAGAACCCTATGTACCATGTAGAAGTGAAATATATTTCTTACGGCCCAATACCAGACCCCATATCTGTGTTATTTCCGAATACTTCATGTTGTAGACTAGCGATTACCATACAATGTAGCTGATATATCACCTTCAATTATATTGGGCGAGAACCTTAGAACAAGTTCACCTACCACCACTCCACTTGCGTGTCCCTGAACTTATGCATCCGTGTCAAAATCAGAATGACTTACCAGACCAAAGCCAGCATACAACGAAGGTAGAGAATACGCAATGTGATCCGGATATCGACAATTAAAGGTGGGGGATCGGTTAAAGTGTTCCCCACAAGGATCTTCCTGTCCATGCGTGTGGGGGAAGCTTTCACCTTGTAGCTTCAGTGACAGCCGAGTAAACTAGTACAGAGGGCGTGTCATTTCCAATGGTCAGGCCGCGTGGAGTCTCCTCCAGATACAGTTCTGATGCATTTCAGTCCGGGCACTCGGCTCAAATGTCTCGGCGACAAGACTATATGAACCTTGCTCCACCAGCTGCTTCTGTGCGTTATTTTTAAGCGCATCATAAGACAACCCTCTGACATTTGCACCCTGCGTATACTCGGGGCCAAGGCATTGCCATCATGGTGTTTGGAATGCTCGAGTGCGAGGATGGTGAATCACCGCCTGGAACAGGTGCAAAAGCTTCCTTGCATTCTCCCTCGTCTGCTCCCTGCTAATAATAGCAGTGATTCTAAGTCACCAGCCATTGATTGAAGGTAGTAGTGATACTACCTCTTCTTCGGCCAAGGCCCCCCATCAACGTCGTGGCATTATTTTGGTACATTCCTACAAAACTCTTCTTTTATTGTTACCGTAGGTCTCACTATGCGCGGCAGGTTCCCCAACCCTCAGATTCTCCAAATGACCCTTTAAATGTAAGTTGGGTGAGGGCTGGCTCTCCATGTATACACAATCGTATTGACCTCAATCAACTACTCAGTGGCCACAATGGTAATGGATAAGTCTCTCCCCCACGATACTCGGACTAGATATTGATGCCCTGCCATTGTCCTGCAGGAGAAAGGATTTTATTTTACTCAATGTCAGTCTCCTCTCCGCCATTGTGGGGGCCTATGGGCCTATGTTGGGGCCTGGGTTTGTGGAGATATCTGAGGAGCTTGACGTTAGCGTGAATGAGATCTCACAAGCTACCTCCTACCTGGTGTTGGCGATCGGAATTGCTCTCCTTTTCAGCAATCCACTGGCCAAGTGCTATGGGAAACGCCCCGTGTATTTGGTATCGGGGTTATTACTCTTTGCGTCAAGCATTGGGGCTGCGCTGACACACGACTATGGCTCATTCCTTGCTTGTCGGCTGGTGGGGGGTTTAGGAATGGGCCCATTTGAGGTTAGTACACGTTCCTAGGGTTTCTTCATCTGTGCATTATAGGGGCATTCCAAAGTCTCACCCATGGCTGCTCACCACTTCTAGGTCCTTGTGCAATGTACTATAGGGGACATGTATTTTGTGCACGAGCGCGCTTCACGCATCGCTTTTTGGAACCTCTTCCTAGTGAGCGGCATCTCGGCCGGGCCAATCGTCAGTGCATATATCATTCAGTATGCCGGGTATCGCTGGACCTTTGGCGTATGCGCCATTTTCTACGGGGTTCTCACTCTAGCGCTGTTTTTTCTTGCCCCGGAAACGTCGTTTCTTCGAGTGGCTCGCACTTCTCCCTCCTCCACTGAGTCCTCAAGTATCGAGCAGTCGGATACAAAGGTTGTACCAGCCGAAGATGCCGTGCAGCCGACGTCTGAAACAATAGATGATATTGAAAAGGAACCCCAGGGTCGAAATGACCCACAGCAGACAACTCAACCCCCATTAATGACACAGCGGAAAGACTCATATTGGAGGTCTCTTCGAGTGTACACGGGTAGATACTCTAATGCCTCCGTCGCGAAGGTGATCAGTCGTCCGTTTATCTTGTAAGTCCCTGCTATCTTGATACCTCGACTATCCGCTAAGGGCCATAGGTTTCTCTATCCTGGAATCCTGTGGGCATTTCTAACCTGGGGTACAACGATCACGTTCACCATTGCCTTTAGCTACGTCAACGGAGTGATATTCAACGAACCCCCGTATAACTTTAGTACTTCCCAGATTGGGCTGATCAATATTTCACCATTGGTCCTCAGCGTTGTATCCGAGATTATCTCGGGGCCTCTGTGTGATAAAATCTGTCTGTATTTGACGAAGAGGAATAATGGGTATTACGAACCCGAATATCGACTGGTCCTGATGGTTGTGGGCTTCGTCCTGGGTGTAGCTGGGTTCTACGGGTTTGGGGCTACCGTGCATTACGAGACGCACTGGACTGGGCCCGTCATCACATACGGGCTGGTCAATGCATCCCTCGCATTTTGCTCAACGTGTGTCTTCGGATACATCATTGACGCCTACACTGCTCTAGGTGAGGAAGCATTCGTGGCGGTTAACTCCCGAAACTTCCTCAGTTTTGGAATCCTTTATGTTATTAACGAATGGCTCGACAAAGACGGCACACTGAAAGTGTTTGTCGTCCTTGGTAGCCTTTTTATCTTCACGAGCCTTCTCACAATCCCGATTTGGTAAGTTGAGCCTCCCGGAATGTCCGTGCAGTCTTAACCGGCCCGAATATCTAGGATCTTTGGAAAGAGGTGTCGGGCTAGGATTGATAAGATTGTTTGGTTGAAGAACTACATGAGAGATTCTTGAAATGGCTCAATGTTCTTTCCGCCGGTTCAACACCGTTGACCTTTCTTTCGCTTCTCGTTGTCTCGTTGTGGTGACTTGCAAATGATACTACATTGCCGCTGGCTGAAACGTTACTTACTAGTACTTAAATAACCGACATATATAACCGTCCAAGATCGTTGCAATGTGCGATATATTGCTGGTAGTATATCACTTAAACCGAAAGTTCACTCATAGATTGCGATCAAGTACAAAGGGATTCTACACAGTGAGGACCGCATCGAACTAGTCAGTGAAAGGCAAGTCGAAACAGGGACCGGTATTTCGTCGGCCAGAGGGGGCCTTCTCGACCCGGGACATCTCTCGCCATAGCTGGCCGGTCAGTGCTTCTTGATCGGGAATACCTGCAGCAGTACTTCGCCGTCGCGTGCGGTCTTGCTGCTGTTGACTCTCCGTAAGCGCGGAGTCCGGTGTCGAGGGCGACGGAGGTTCCTCCAGCATCGGTTGCTGTTGTTGCTCCGAGAGCGCCGCAGCGACACGGTCCTTCCACGTCTTCTCTTCGATCTCCTTCGCAATGACGGCGTAGTGGGCCCGCCGGTATACCCCCACAGAGCTTAACGTTAGTGCGATCAATTCATACGCGAATAAAACTGGTAACGCGTAGTACAGTTGCGGGTTGCAGCCATCGGACCAAATGTCCACCAGCACCTGGAAGATGCTGTGTGCGGGCAACGCATATCCCCACTGATAGAACCCTGGGGAGAGTTCGAATGGGAGCAGGATCGATGTGACATTCAAAACCACCCACGAGATGAGGGCCATCGGCACACCCGGTGGGGGGAGCCAGATCGTGAAGACATCAAGGACAAGAAAGTTGCAGTGGGCAAACAGCCACAAGGCCATCCAGGTCAGGGCGAACTGCCCGCCATCGACATGCCACCCATGGCGAAAAGCCCAGATGGCACCCGTTGTACATAGTGATCCCGACAGCGTGTATAACCCTGAGATGAGCTGGCGGACGGTGGCAATCCGTGGCGCTGCTATGGTGACATACAGCTGAAATTGCTGATACAGGCCATTGATGTAACCCAAGTAGAAGAATTCCTGGATCAGAATCAAGATAATTACCAAGGTATTGTAGATGAGCCGGGAGCCTTGAGTCGTGGGCTGGATGTTGATTGAAGCCAACGTCCAGGGGTTGGTAAACGCCGCCAGGGCAGCGGGATCCCTGTCGTTCAAGCTCCCGAGTGCCTGCATCCCATTTGTTTTGAAATAGGCCACTCGTGCAGCTTCCGAGAGTGATTGCATATTGTTCGCAATGGCGGAATCCACCACCGTGGGATACCGTGCTTCATTCCAGACCAGAGTGAGAACATCGCTGTTGTTATACGAGGCTGCCGCAGGACCTCCTCCGAATGCGGCAGCCAAGCGATTTGATGCATTCACAGACGTGTATAACCCACCCCAATAGTCGATCTTACACACGGCAGATGTGACGGTGCTCGGCCGGGGATACGCCGACACCGATTGCTCGTTCAACGTGGGGAAACCAGGACCCTTCAGCTGCTGGTACGCGGCGCGAATTGCGCTTCCCACCGCTCCCCCATCGTAGTCGACAAAGACAACATGCAGGTTCTGCGTATGCGAGGTCTGCTGGAAGAGGGAGCCGAACAAGTAACAGAAGAGACCGAGAAAGAGAAGCTGCAGTACGATGAAGTTCAGACCAGCTGCTTTGAGCAGTCCCCATCGACGCCGGCGAACAGAAGGGTCGTGGATGCTGGGGTGTGGCTGATGTCGCGCTTTGGGGTAGAAATGCATCGGAAACGCTCAATGAGGGTAAAGGTAGTCTTACAGTTCAGAGTGGAATGCCAGCTGCGCAAGGGGGCTCTGGAGTAATGATCCCGTCACGGTGTTGATCAACCGTGGTACATTCTGCAGTCTATATATATATTTCGACCATGAAGTGAGGGTTTTGGAAGAGGCCGAATGCAACTTCTCGATCACCTTCACGTGACGGCAGATACGAGGAGAGTCGATAGAGGATTCCATCCATATGGAGACGAGCGAGCTACATTATACGTTCTAGTTTTTGGTTGGTCCAGGCGAACGGTCAATATCTCTGCTAAGCTTCTCGTCAGCATGAGATAATTCTTGTGATCTGGCGATCGACGTCTCGCCAGATCAGGTGACTCTGGATGGGGCTGAGTCAGCAATGGGTGCCTGGACTTGTGAATGCCTGCAGACTCAGGCATTCAACCGT